TTGTTAGCCACAGTGCAACTTCAACAGGAGAAATTTAGGGTGCCCCACATCAGAATATCCCATAGCCCAGTGATTTGGGTACACACCTGAGAGGTGGTAGATCCTAGTTCACAATCCCATCTCCTCAGGTGGAGGCGCTACTTGACCTAGGCATCTCCCACATCCCAGGTGAGTACCCTAACCAGTGGCTAAAAGTTAGGAAGGAGCTCCTCCTCTCCCCATTTTGTGCAAAGCTCACCTATAGAGGCCTGATCCAGTAGGCAAGGTCTTGGTGCGATTACAGGATTAGGTCCTGCAGGCAGTTTATATGGAGGAATACCTATTTTGTCCCCAGTTTATGCATCGCCCTGAGTTTTAAGTGTCTGGATGCCTCATGTACGGCTTATGCTCAGAGGCAGTAACATAAGCACCTAGGGAACTCTTACTGTAAAAATTTAGGTGCTGAGCCAGTTTAGGCACCTATAGGGTTCTGGGGCAACAGAGCAGGGGTTTAGTGAATCTTAGTGGACTGATTCTGGGATTTAGGCATGTGAAGTGGCAGTTAGCCAGTACCTTTACCCTACAATAAAAAGTAGGCTAATGGGGCCAAATCCTCCTCATCATATTCACCTGCATAGGCCCAGCAAGTTAACTTATTAAGGTGAGCAGGATTCATCACTCAGTTTATCCATCCTCAGCAATTATTCTGCTTGGTGCAGAGCTGTCTTGTTTTAAATTTCCAGTGAAACGAAAGAAAATATATAACGTCTCTGTTCCTTTGGTTAGAAAATTACTCTAAGTACATATTTGGTTTAAACTGTCGAGGACTGGGGGTGGGGAAATTTTCTTGATACCAGAAAAATCCTTTTCCTTGTAATCTAACAGCTAGAAATTGAATGTGTTTGTGTGTAACTTTAGATCCTAAAACAAATACCACAGCAAAGCCAATTTCTAGCAGTCCTTTTATTATATAAAAGTAAAAGGCAGAAAAACAGTTGTCATAAACAAGTAATTATTTTAATGCCATGCTTCTTATGGCCAGCTAGTAAATCCATCATTTCACTTATCTGGTTCTGAAATGTATTACTTGAGGCGGCTGTTGTAACATGGGTCAGTTGAGATCTGGAAGATGGAAATTATTCTTGAAGACATTAAGGTCCATACCATACAATTGAAGACCTCAAGAAAATATGCAATTTTGTTATTGTTTTTTGTTGTTGTTTTTTTAGTTACAGATCTAGGTTGTTTAATCTTTGATATTTTTCATCTTATTCTGCTCCAGTTATTTTTTAATTTCCCAAACAATAATTTGATATAAAAAGTGAATGGAGCTAAAGATTCAATGCAGTACAGTAGAATTATTGTTGAAAGGGAAAGGACAGCAACCCTGTGGATCTATTCATGGGGCACAGATACAGTAAAAGTATTGTTAGGAAACATTTGCACACTAGTTAGATCAAGACAAGAGGAGATGGTCTTGCATCCCCCCCAAATGAATTCAGGTTATAGTTTAGCTCCTTCCCAGGACTTTAAAGGTTATGTTTTATAGCCAGATTTAAGATCCTTGAGAAGTCTCCATGTGCTGCACTGAATTGCACTTCATTCACTGTAAAGAGACTCCACTGTGGTTTGCATCCCTCCCACGTCCCAAGCAGTGCTTTGTTTCAAACTGGAGACCAACTGATTGAAGTGGGATTGAGGACTCTGAACGTCAATCCTGTCTGTGAGTGTCAGGTTTTGACCATATAGCCTCTAGGTTTCAGCGGCAGCAGTCAGAGAAGGAACAGGCTGAAATCAGCAAAAGGGGGATGGGGGATCTTTTGCTTTTATTCCCCCCGCTCCTTTTCTTGCTGTCACAAAGGCACTGGTAAAAGAGTCTCAGAGCTCCAAGCGAGCGGATTTACACGTGGCTTCCACTACAGTTTCATCTCATAATCGAAATCCAAACGGTTTAAAATGATAGCTGTCTAACTGGATGCAGCAGGGATTTGGAAAATCAGAGAGGTGGGACACAGCTTTCTTTAGTGATATGCTATGAAAAGGTAAGCAATTGTAAATCAGTGTATTACTGGTTGGATTGTGCCAGTAGAAATATCCTCTTCATATAACGACTCTGTGAAATAAAATAAATAAATAAACATTAATATTCAAAATAACAAATACACCCTGCGAAAGAAAACCCCACCCCGCCCTCTCTAGAAAAGCAACGTGTCTCCCATTTCAACGATATCCATAAAGAAAACAAGACAGCTTAATTGTTTGTTTCTCTAAGGGAAGGAGCTAAACCTGGAATTAATTTGGTTCAGCCTGTGAAACAATCCGTTTGCTCTGCCTAATTCCGGCAATTAAAGAAGTTTTCCCAGACACAATTAACATGTAAATCAACCGCGGAGTGTGGGGCTGGGGCTGCTGCTGGAGCCAAGAGTGAAAGGCAGGCTGCACCGTTCCTTCACCGCACCTGAGCCTGGGGGGCGCTAGTGCAGCCACTCGCCGGAGTAGCAGCATTGACTGGCAGCGGTAGCAGCAGGGTTGCTGGGCGGGGGGTGGGAAACCGGAGGATTAATTTATTAGCTCTGTTCTTGCTTTTCACTGGCTCTGAGACACGGACGGATTAACCCAGCCAGCAGCTAACAAACTGGGATTGGTGGGGTGGGGAAGACAACTGGGACCTGATCTGCCAAACACGACTAGCCCTATTTCCCTAGAGGGCCATCGGACGGATGGCATCGTGGTACTGCAGATTAGTGCCCTCCGTGAATGTTTAATGTCAGTAAAATGCGATTAGGAGGTTACACAATAGAATGGAATACTTCTCCATATAACATGCGTTGTGGAAACTGAATAGCGGTAGCTGGAGATATACGTAGCATGCGTCTATCTGTACAGAGCAGAGCCTGGAGCGGGAGGAGCTGTGTCTGTGTATCTGCGCACACAAACTGAACTCGCAGCTGAGAAGTGCGCCACAGTACCATGCTAGCATGACAGGAGGCAGGGGAGCTCCCGCTGTGCTAATACGTGCGCAAATCAGACGTCCGATCCTGCTGCCATTGAAGTTAGTGGGAGTTTTGCCGTCGCCTTCAGAGGAAAACGGATCAGGCAGCAACTTTGCAAATTTAATCAAGCCTCGCATTGTTTGCCCAGGCGAATTAGTGCAACGGCCCCTTCTGGCACACAGGGAAAACAGCAAGAGACAGCTCGGAGACGTCTTTCTCCCAAGGCTAAACCCCTCTAGGTAGAGCTATTGTGTGCGTGTGTTCTTAATCATATCATCTGAGATACACTGTACACACAGACTGTACTTATAATATAGGCATATGCTGTGTAACTTGTGCACATACGCAGTGGCACTTAGGTTTCAGAGGTGCAAGTTAGACCACCTGAGGCTTCTGATTTGTTTTTGACTCCAGGCACTTTTTCATTGTCATCTTTTCAGCTCTGTCCTGCAGACCTTGATATACAAGTATAGCTCCCTGCTCTTTTGCTGCTGCTTTCTCTTAAAACGAAACATTGCTACTGGTATGGAAAACAGTTTTAGTGGACCCGGAACAATCGCGGTGGTGGAAAATTTCGATTGCCAGCATTTTCAACATTTATGGTTGCCTCACTCAGTACAAATCTGACGTAGACATAAGCATATACATATGGGGTAGAAATAAGGATATGCCTTGGGAATGGAGAGGAGTGAGGATGTATTGGCCTTTAGCAAGTTTCCTTTAAAAAGTCTTTTTTTAACGCGGGCGATGGATGGAGGCTGTGTCTTGGCAAGTTAATGTTTGTAGAAGAAAGGTTATCCCTTTTCCTCTCTTCATGCACCTGTATAAAATAAATATTTAAAACGTGCGTGTGTAGCTATTTTTATTGGGGATTTTTTATTGGCACTACATTCACTTTATTAAGGATTTAAATAAAACATTTCTCATTGCATATAAATACAAAATTTCAAGCACAGTGTTCAGACTATCATAGTTCTGTTAGTTTATTCTTGGCATATATTTTTCTTTCAAGAGCTGTTATATCTACTTATTTGTATAAGAATACTATGTACTGAACAGTTATTTTACATATATTTACATATCTTATAGTCAATTCGCTTTGTGTGTAGGATGTTCATTGCTCTAGGATTTGAGCACTGGAACAGTTCTCAGAATTAGAAAGTCTTAATTCACTTACCCTCATCCTTTAAATTTTTTTCATTTAAGAAAATCGATGAGCAAATCCTTTCTTGTATCTCGTCTCCTGGAGCACTTCTTCCTTGCCCTTTTCTGCGTGAAGAATCAGTAATACTTCTCTCATCACTGCTTTATCCCCAGTCCTGATTACAAACACAGTACTGTACATAAATGCTGTATATGGGGTAAGGGCTTTTCCAGCTCTTCACTTTCGTTACCTTATTGTTTATATATGTCGGGGGGAGGGGGAATATCCACTTGGAAACTCGCCATGCTCTCACCCTATCCCCTACCCATTGCACATGCTCATCCTTGTTCGGTACAGCAAGGGACTGGAGAAGAAGGGTGGGTGGAATCAAGTGAGTCCATCTGGAGAGATCCAGTCCGGGATTTGACTCCACCCGCAGCGAAGCTGCCTTCCTTTGACAGAGGAGTTGGGACTCGGAGACTAGCAGTGGGAAGAGAGGCAGGGCAAAGGGAGAGAGGTTGCTCTGAACTCCTCTACAAACACAGTTCAATGACCAGGAGCTTTGGGCTAAAGCAACCGCGCTTTCCTGCCGTGGCACACAGAGTGCCGCCTGCCTAGGAGTTTTCCTGAAGCAGCCTCTACACCTGGCGCACTTTTGGTAGAAAGGGAGCAGGACAAGACCCTGAAATGACTTATCTCTCCTAAGATTCGACTGAAGGGGACTTCCTGGAGTGGGATCCTAGTGGAATTTGGGTTTGGAGAGGAGTTGCTAAACCTTTTTTCCTCTTCCCCCTTTTCTCTCCCGTCATTGGAAATGAGCAAATTGCATTTGCATTCCAGAAAGTAGCAATATTAAACATCCCATCCCCCAAAGAAGCACACATGTAATAATGACAAAGGATTGCAAAGGAGAGAGTGGATCCAGTTTCCCAGAGAGATCCCCTTAAATGGATTACTAAATGGGACACTACATCAGCTAGTTCTGTCCTCTAGCTGCCTAGATACATGCACCGAAAAGGTACAGTACTCCCCGCTCCATATCTATATCTAATCCTTTGGGTTGCTTGCAAAGGAAGGCTCCTCCTGGCTTGCACTGGCGGGTCCGGGAGAAGCGTGTTCGGTGTGTGGTTAAGGTTGGCTGCTGGTTTCTAGCTCGGCAGCGCTTCGGGAAGGCGGGGGAGAGCCGCCCGCCCTAGCACACGTTGTGCTGCTGCCCCTGCCCGGTCAGTTTGCGGCTTGGGCTGCCTTTTTTACCAGTCTAGTTGCTCAGCCCGCTGGCACACCGGGGCGTCCCTATGGGGCTCGGGCGCTAGCGGGGCTGAAGGCGTTTGTCCTTGCGCCTCACTCAGCCCCGCTTGTTCGCAGCGGACGCGGAGCCGGGCTGCTTTGCCCCGCCGCTGGGCGTGCGCGCTGCCTGCGGTGCGGGGCGCCCCGTATGAGAGATCCAAAGCGGGCCGGGAGCGGGCTCTGGGGCTCCCAGCCCCCGCCTTTAGCTGCTCATCCCGGGGCTGCAGAGCGTCACGGGGGGAGCTGGCGAGTCTTTGTTATGGGGACAATGTGGGCGCCTTGCACGTGCGTAATCCCTGGGCGCTGCTCTTTAACCCGGGTATTGACGCTGTTGTTATTGACAGGGGCGCTGGGTGTGGAACAAAGGGGCCTCCTGCCAGCTGGGAGCCCCACACGCTCTGCCCCGCGCCCCCCGTGCCCATGCTGGTCCCTGGGTGTGGATGTGCGCTGCTGCCTGGCTGGCTTTGTTCGCTAGCATGGGGCTGGCGCTCCGGGCTGATCTCCCCCTCCCAGCCGCGGGCTCCTGTCATTGCTTTGCCAGCAGGGAGCAGGGGAGGCTCTGGCGCTGTCCCCCCCCACTCCTAGCTGGGGTGTGTGTATGTGTCGGGAGCCACCACGGGCTGACTCCCCGCAGCGCCAGTCGGCTCCGAGCGAAGGTGGCTCTCGGGCAGGACTGTTCCCCGCCCCCTCTCGCCGCTGCTGTCAGCTCCTCTGGCACTGGGGTGGGGGCGGCTCAGGCACTCCCTCCCCCCATGGTCCTGCCAGCCACACTGGAAGGGCCACGGGGCTGACCCGCTCTTGCCAACTGTCCGCACTGACCCGAGCATGAAGGAGCCATAACACGGTCCTTTAGGAAACCAAAGCCCTCGCCCTTTCCCTCCTCTGAGCGCCCTTGCCCTGCTGCTCCCCCAGTGTGTGCCCCCCCCGACCCTTCAGACCCCGGGGAACCAGGCAACCCCATGGCAAAGTTTGTCTAAAAGGAAATAACAGGCCTGGATCGCACAATGGAGTGTTTGTTCCGAGCTCCCTCCTAAAAGTGCTGCCTGGGTGAAAAATACAAGGCGGGGGAAAGGGAAAGGGAAGGGGAGGCGTGGGGGGCTCCCTGCTGTAGGGAGTAAGAAGGAACCGTCCTGGGATGGCGATAAGCCCCCTCGCCCTCCGGACTATTTCAGACAGAGAGTGTTAGATCTGAAAGGGCCAGAGGACTTTCCGCCACTCTCACCACCGAAATCCCAGCCAGCAGCAGGGGGCGGAGGGGGATGATAGTGGCAGGGAGGATGCTGCTGGTGGGAGGGATTTTTTGTGTGTGTGTGCAGGAGCATGAAAAGCTCTCAGTTGAGAGTAATGTGCATTAAGTGCTCTGGCTGTGAATTTGCATGAGCGAAAGTGGGAGCCTGAGCCTGCAAATCCCCATGAGTTGTTTTCCTGCCTGCTGGTGTATTGGAAAAGTGGAGCAGAACTGAGACTGCCTGGGGGAAGGGGGAAAGTTGAGAGCTGGTGGCTGCTGGCCTCCTACAAGCAATTACAGAAGTAACAATTATTAGATAAATCAGTCTGGGTCAGGGGATTGTTGGCTCCGGGGCCAGTGAAGCCATTTGGGGCATTCTCGTGGCCCGGGAAATGTTAGTGAAAGTTTGAAAGTGTGAAAAGGCATCTGGTTTGGGCTGCACGGAGCGCTCTGTGCCAAAGATTTTTGCTTTACTTCCAACTAGCTTTGCTTGTGATGAGAGGAGGGGAAACTGGTGCTGATGACTGACATCCAGAGGAAGGGTTAAATGTAAAAACCACAGCTTTCCCTGTTCCTTTGAAGCTAGGCTCCCAGCAGCTTTGACAAAGTTAAGGCAGTAGGGCTTTTTTTAACCATAGTCAAAGAATCTCATGAGTGACTATTTAATGGCTAGTTGTAATATAGTAATTATTGGGTTCTTCCTACATGTCTGCTTGACCACTTGTTTAGAAGGAAATTTGTTCTTCACTTTTCTTCTTTCCTAAGATAATTAGCTGGTCTTTAAGTATGTTTGTAAACCTACATACTTATGCCAATGTTTATGCATTTTCAGACCTCTTTAAATTGAGGCAGAATGAAGATCATAAAGTTCATTGCAGATACAGAAATAGTGGCTTTAATTAACTTGGCTATAAATAAAAAATGGAAATTCCTAATTGGGGGGTGCGCATGTTTGGGTCTGTAAATACATAACAGGAGAGTTAAATCATCCCAAACACTTTCTATCTCTGGTCTACATATAGTATGGTATTATTTGAAATACACCCTGATAACTCCTGCTTAATATAAACCAGAACTAACGTTAATTATTAACCCAACCTTAAATATAGGGGCAAAATCTTGTCTCCAGCTATTATCCTGTCTTTGTAAAAACAATTTCAATAACTGTGAGTTTGGTTTACACATTCTTATTTACTTTGGGCCCCATCCTGCAATCATTCCTCATGCGAGTAATCTTTACTCACAGGAGTAAATTCATTTACTTCAATAGGACTCTTCCAGTGAGTAAAAATTACTTACAGAAAGAACGCTTGCAGGATCAGGCCCTTTATGCAGCTCTTGCCCAGATTATTCGACTGGTTTAAGATGTGCCTAAATATTACTGTTTTTAGAGATTGGTTTGTGGATTTCAGGAAAAAATAATGAAAAAGACAAATGACCTTGTTTTGGTTAATGGGGCTGGCCAGCATATTTTGAAGAAAAGTGGGCCATTGCCAGCAAGCCCTTCCTTACAGTAGTAGTCCCACAGGACTTTGAATGGAACTACTGGCATGAGTAATAAAATAAAAACCCCAAACCACCTACAGTGCCAATGTGTTTCTCTGTTTATAGTTTTCTTTAGAATATAAAACATCCAATTTTTATATTGGTAACCATTTATAAAAGACCCAAAGACAATAAGACAAAGGGCGTATTCTTCTTGTATAAACCCTAAATATAAAAAATATGGGTGCAATTCTATACTCCTTGTTCAGGAAAATCTTCCACTGACTTCAATGGAAGTTTAGTCAAGGGACTGCAGGATCCAGCCTTATCTCTGTAAATGATAAACTGATGTTTTTTTAAGAATAATTAATTTCATGCAATACAAGATATTTCTACATTTGCTTTTCATATAATAGGAGTCAAAGAAGATATGAAACATGAGTGAATAGTTTGAGTGAAAAGAATCATATGCTCACAGATGTTTTGCATATTCTCAATTAGTTTACATTAGAACTGTATATTTTTCTTATGGTGGCAAAATCTACTTTATCAGCTAAACCAATACTCCTGAAAGAGGGGGATAATTGGGCTAAAATTTACTAGGAACATGTGTATTTAACATGTCTTAATTACTTGAAGATAAAAGTAGATGGTAGCTATGGCCCCTTTTTTAATGTTTGTAATTTGAGGAGGGCAGCTATTGCAATTGGAGTCAGAAGAAATAGGTAGCAGAGGGTATAGATAAGGAGCTGCTTTCATTGATTCATTGATTTTTTTAAAAAGGAGCAAATTAATGACCTGTGATAAATCCAAAATAGAACTGTTCGCATTAAAAAGGAAATAGGTGATTGTGAACCTGTTTGTGTGTGTGTTTTTGTAAGGAAAGGGGAAATTTGTCATCTTGTTTTGAAGAGCGAGAAGAGCCATACATAAATACATCTGAAAGGAGTTCACACGGTTTACAGAGGGAAGACATAAAATGTTTTAGGATTAAATTGGCCTGAGATAACACGTGGGTTGCAGCCTACTTGTTTGCAGGAACACATTGTTATGCTACCCAAACAAATGTTTTGTGTATAATACATGGCTACCATACATGATAATAAAATGCTCAAAACAAACTACAGAGTAAAATCTGGAAAGTAATATTCATTCTGATATATTTTTATATATTTTGGCAAACCATATGTAGGGAGAAAGGCTAATGATACTAAAATAGAAATCTTATATTCCTAAACAGGTACAGATGCTGCTTTCTTTTACCTTTTTTTTTCCATGTGACTTCACTAGTAATGTCAATTTCAGAGCCGGATCTTCAAAAGCTGACTCACGTGAATAATCCTTACTCCTCTGAGTAGTTTCATTAAAGTAAAATGGGATCATGTAAGCAGAGATTACTCTGGTGAGCAAGAGTTTGCAAGATTAAGTCCCTACACTGGAAATTCTATCCTATGGTAAGAAATGGTCCATAGTCAGGGCCTGATATAGTGAGGTGCTGAGCACATCCTTGCAGTATGAAACCCTTAATGGTAATATGGCCCTAAAGCTCTGTATCAATGCTCTGATTTGAGTGAGGTCAGAGTCAGGTCCGTAATAAATTGTGCTGAACTCCATGTCTTTTAATTCCCTCTTACACCTACCAGCACACCTGGTGATTCTTAAAGCATTTTACAACCATTAACCAATTGTCCTCCATAGCATTACAATGAGGTGGGTAAGGAATATATGGAGATCACTTTGACAACGAAATGTGGCCACCTCTGGTACAGAGTGGAATTGTTGTTCAATAGCACACAGCAGCAGTACACAACTGTTAGGATAGGAAGCAGAGAAAATTGGATCCTGATCTGTGAACTCTTAGGCTGGTGAGTAACTTTACTTGATCTCAGTGGGGCCACACATCTGAGTAAAGTCACTCGGTAGTCAGTAGGCAGACCCGGGGCCAAATCCAGACCACCAGACACTTTTGAATAGACCACAAAATCTTTTTACAGTATTTACTTACTATTATCATCATT